TTTTATTCACTGCAGAGTGATGTAATAAAAGTATACATGGAGCGTGTGCAGTTTGGTCCTGTAAGTTGTTCCGTTTGGACAATAGTGATTTATTTATTTTGTCTGTACCCGCGATGCACGATGGTACCATGGTGAAATCGCGATGGCGCGATACATCGAACAGTGGTATAAATGTGGTGTTTGAAAAGACAAATATGCTGACATTTGCGGCCTTCAGATGAATTAATTATATCCAAGATATTTTAAGTGTTTACTTTATTTAACAAAAACGTATTCTTATAATGATTGAAATTTAATACAACTAAATCGACGGATTTATTTGCTTCCTAACCTAAGAATTATTACCGGTACGGTAAACCATGGGAAACGAAAACTACAACCTTTTTTATTCTTACTTTTTATTTGGGTTTTTTAACATTTTTTATTTAATTATTTTTTTAATGAAACATATCTTATGCCTTGTGCTTGGAGATGCGTCACGATTTTTCAATTTGCTTCTACAATGAAATCAAACAACAGTTCAATTGTCATAGCTTTGAGTTCTTAGCACACTTACGGTGAGTTTTTTAACAAAAGGATTCCTTGTGGTATCTTATGGTATAAAAATATAATTATTCACCCATGGGTTATAGGCATCAAACTTATATTGTGTACAGCGGCAAATACTTTGAAAGTATTTTAGTATCTCGTTTACATCACCGCTTATGATATTGTGATACCATTTAGGCTGCGCATAACTATGTTTGCTTAGTTATGCATGTGGCGTTCATAAGATGTTTAATTGTTATAATTCTTGTTTCCTTGTAAATTCGATATATTACACGCTAAAATATATATTCTTATATATTCATGTATATACACCAGCTAATCATATATATATAATCACGAGCAGAAAATTATACTTAGACAAATCACACGAAAAATCGACAAGCCACAGTCGGGCCTCAAACCACGGTCTCTGAGTTGCCGCTCCAGTATGCTTACCACTACACCGCGCCGTTATCTTTGTTGAAAAAAATTAAAACGGTTTTTGACAATTTAGTCTAGGTATACCCAAATGTCGTCCGGTTTCTTTACATGTTTGTAATTTATGATACGAACATCTAAATCTGCATCTACATTTCTTTACATAAAATTGCTAATTAGAGAAATGGATTTTACATGGATTTGAAAATTTAACAGGAATGAAATTTTGAATTTCTCTCTTATCAATTAACCTTTGTTTAAATTTATTAATAAATAGGTTGATATCCCAAATATTTGACTAAGCCAAACAAAACTGAACCCGTAATTATGCAATATTTTTACCGAGGTCGCCATTTTTTTTCTAAATATAATCTTGTCTAGTAAACATTAAATAACAATTTCTAGGATGTCAATGTTTTGGCATGACAAAGTAATTTACACCAATATCTATTGATTTTTATCCTTCTGCACTCTTCCAGTGCAAATTTTTAAAATGATTTGTGCCTAGAAATTTTTAAAGCTGATAAAAATTTCGGAGACTATACTTCAATAAATCTCAGCTCGATAGGCAAGTATAGGTTTTACCGAAGAGGCAAATTATTTGAAATAATCAGTGTAAGAGTGTAAGGACTTTCCATAATTTCATTGATATAATATACATGTTGCTACCGTCAAAGATATTTTAGGTGTAAAAATAAGACTTAATTTATGCATTTACCAAACTGCCGTTGAATAACTTGTTTTTCATATGGACTGAGCGGTCCGCATTATCTAAATATAATTATTGAATTTTTCCCCTTAAAAGACATACTGCAATATAAACAAATTCAAAAAAAAATGAATTTAACTGAGACTGAAATTCGGTCGCAGTATCATCTCAGTTTGCTACATCGTCAGCGAAAGGATTGCATAATATATCTGGAATTTGGTCCGCGATGTACCTTTTTACGCATGAATGGACTTAATTCATTTATATACAAATTAAACATGATCGTTACCTTTACTTTTGGTATTACTTATTTGTACACATACATGGAGTTTAAATACATTGATAAAAGCTTACGGAATAAATTTCCTCTAACGTTATTTCTTTTTATAGTATTGAATAATGTTTTATGCTTAAGTCCATCAAATGTTTTTTATTCTATGTAAAGAACATTTATCATACCAGCTATCAATAACAGCTGGTACTGGACTTCACAATTCGGAGATCAAGATAACATCAATATTAACAATATAATAATTATCAATGTACATGCCTGAAAAGAAAAAAAATAAAGGAAGAAGAATAGGGCCGTTATAAAAATGAGGACCGCTTTATATTATCAAAGTTTATTCGAATTCAATCATTTGAGGAATCAGGCAAGACAAAATAATGAAAGAGTGTGATAAAATATATTTAATGTCAATTTTTATCTTTTACATCATCGACAAGGTAAACCGCCGTATTGTGGTGGAGGACAAGCGCAATTTGACCTGACTAAATATGGGCTTAAACAAGCACCAGCCACTGCAGCATTGTAGTTACAGTATGGAGTCATTTCACGATAGCACCAGCCTCCATTCACTGGCATAAAAAGATCCCTCGATTAATTTCAATGATATTGATCTAAGATTGAGTAATCAAGCATGTTATTTAGTACAAAGAAATTTACTTCAATCTGAAAAATAGTTGAAATAGATAGTGTAGAAACAACAAAGCTCAACTGAAGATCTTGAAGACTTTGTTTGATTGTTCATGTTCATGGATATAAGTTAATGGTAACAACTTTCAATACCCCTAGCATGTGTATAAAATAATGTTAGTCTTAACTGGGATTATTTGTCAATAAAAGATTTCAACAATTACGTAACCATAATTGTCAACTATATTACTCACAAAACATAATCTTTTGAGAATATGTGAAAATTACACTTAAACGTTTTATCAAAATTACAAATTTTTGATTCGGTAAATATTTTGATAATACCTGGAGGACAGTCCATTATTATATAGCATTGTTCTTGCTCGGTTGCATTTCCAACACACGTCTTATTCATGCTTATGTCGAGGCGATGATAACATTCCCTTTTCCGTGTCTTTGTGCCAAAACTGCATGTCTGAGAACAATAAGAATAAGACCCCCATTCTGTCCAACCAAAATGATCTGTAAAAATTAAAAACGAATATTACTATAAAGTTTTTTTTATTAATATGGGAACAACTCATATTTAGTATTGCTTTATTATAAATTATAAAATAAAATAAGTAAAATTGATAGACGAAATGTTGCGAACTTACAGTTAGTCTTGTTATATTGCTTCATATGCTGGAATATAAAGTAATTTCATCAACCGCATATCCCTTTTGGGGCTTCATATATATATAGAGAGAGAGAGGAGGAAGCTGGATTATCATAAATACTGGTCAGTGCAGATTTTTCAGTAATACATTTCATCTATTTCAGAGTGATAAAGTATAAAATATCATCCTAATAATTTAAAAGAACATCAAAATGGAAAATCGGGTACGAATAAAAACTTATTATTACCACAATCATATGTAATTTTTTATTTCATATTTGCTAAGCTTTTTCATCTGTATACTACAATGTATACTGGCTGACCTAACTTTTAGGCGCAATTGTTGGAAAATATCAGAAGAAATACAAAGAAACGGACATTACTATGTTAGCGCTTTCCTATGAGTGGAAGTTCCGTTGCCTGTAATGGCGATCACAGGTCAATTGTTGTTTCATAATATTGCAAGATAATGGTACGAAACATACTAGATTTTGACAAAGTGTAAATAAAAGGTCCGTATTTTGCGAACAACAACATTGTAATGTCCACAGGCAAATCTTACTATGTGCGAGGGAGGTTTCATTTTTGTGTCGCCTCTACGGAGTAGTGGTGACATATAGGGATCACTTCTCCGTCGTCTGTCTGTCCGTCTGTCCGTCTGTCTGTCCGTCTGTCCGTCACAAAACTTGTCCGGACTACTCCTCATAAACTACTGGTGCAATTGCATCCAAACTTTACAGGAATGATCAATACCAAGTTTAGTTGTGCATATTGTCAGCATTTTTCGGTTCAATGATTTTTGGCAGAGTTATGGCCCTTTAATAATTTTTAATTTTAAAGTTTGTCCGGACTACTTCTCTTATACCACTAAAGCAATTTCAATGAAACTTTACAGGATTGATCTGTAGCTCAAGTCCTTGCGCATATTGCAAGGGTTTTTCGGTTGAATGATTTTTGGCTGAGTTATGGCCCTTTGATAAAAAAGGTGTATTTTTCTGTGTGTTGCCAGATACACAAAAGCTTGTCCGGACTACTCCTCATAAACTACTATTGCAATTTCATCTAAACTTTACAGGAATGATCAGTACCAAGGGTAGTTGTGCATATTATCAGCATTTTCCGGTTGAATGATTTTTGTCAGAGTTATGGCCCTTTAATAATTTTTTATTTTTAAAGTTTGTCCGGACTACTTCTCTTATACCACTAAAGCAATTTCATTGAAACTTTACAGGATTGATCTGTAGCTCAAGTCCTTGCGCATATTGCACGGGTTTTCCGGTTGAATGATTTTTGGCCGAGTTATGGCCCTTTGATAAAAAGGTGTTTTTTCTGTGTGTTGCCAGATACGCAAAAGCTTGTTTGGACTACTCCTCATAAACTACTGGTGCAATTTTATCCAAACTTTACAGGAATTATCAGTACTAAGTCTAGTTGTGCACTGTCCTTCTGTCTGTCCGTCTGTCACAAACTTTGTCCCAACATGAAATTGGCCATCATGAGGCGACACATGTGATTACTGATCGCTCTTGTTTTAAATTATAAATAATTATTGCCGTTCCTATATACGGAGGTATATACAATTAACAAGATTTGTCCACCGTCTGCCTTTAGTCAATCAAAGCGAAAAAAATTAAATATCACATAATAACAAAATGGACGTCAAAAAACTTCAAAATACGATGTGGAAATGAACTCACCCTTCGGCCATGTTTATCAGGTTACCTATTGGTACAACTGAAAAATACCAATGTCAATCTACAAACTGAGTATCAGTCTTTAGGCTTTTGCAGGATAAACACAGTTGTAATAATTTTTGATGCATGCCATTTCTAAGTAGAGAATGTTGTCTCAATAAGAGTTAATTTTGTTTTCTTTCTAAAACTTGCATTAAATGAAACAAAACTCAATAAATGCTTTTTCCGGTTGAGTTTAATTCTATGAGAGTTTAATTGCATTATTCCTATAATATATTAGGTCATTTAAAGTCCGTTTCAAAAGAAACTTTGTAAAGCAGTTAACGTAGTAAAGAACGTAAAGAATAAGAACATTGACAGATGTACTGTTTTCAATTACGCAAGTAGCTACTTATTTTTGCCGATTGATGCACTAATTAAGCGCATTTAGTCCAAATAATTGTACTACACATTTAGTTATTGTGATATATTTCGTATGGCCCAATCTGGGCAATATCTCCCAGATTTTGAATCAGAACGAAAAATATCTTAGAATCTAGCTTCGAACGTCAAAATATTTTGACAAGAACGGAATGGTACGTATTTTTGTTGGCTCTCTATGTGTTGACTACATACAATAAATACATTAGGCAAGAAAATGAAATATCATTTCTTTATTCATGCTGTAGATCTTTCAGAACCATGTAACTAATTCCAATTTAATTCCAAGTTTTTTAGATTGATTCACGAAAACCAAAATTTTCAATTCACATGTTTTGTTATGGGGCTTACCACTTCGCCAAGAATCTTAAACGGAAGTTATAGAACAAGTATTTGCCTCTATATAAGCAATGTCTATTAAACTAACCCCCGAAAGACAAGCAGAGCTGATCCAACTTTGTCTTCTTTTCTTTGCTAAGTAGTTTGTTACAATACGTAAATTTGTCAAAGCTGAGAGGAAAGATAATAGAGTCCAGTGCAGAGGCCTTTTTACTTTAAACCTTTAGAAAAGATGAATATACATAAAAGGACGAAAAATATGCAGCAACTTAGATTTCAGTAACAACAATGTAATAAAAGATCCATGACCGGCATTTTCCAGAAAGACCTTGTCCGCCAAAATGCAACTCAATATAGGAAATGGACATTGTCTTCATATACATTGAAAATTTACAGAACTCTTTCAATTATCATGTAAATAACCTGTCATTAATTTACTTTTTTTCAGCACACAGATGTCAAACCATAGATCTAAATGAAAATGAATTTCAAGGGGACTGTGTCAATATTCACTATATTGAAACAAACAAAACCTGTCAATCACCATTAAAACATTATACTTCAAAGGTATAAAGCCAATCCTTCGATTTGTATTGTAAGAATTTTAGAAGAATACATTGGCAAGACAAAACTTTTACGACACACTGAGGCAAAATTACCGATCGGCACTCAAGAACCACACAAAGCAGTATCACATCGAACAGGAAACATATTTTAATCAAAGCCGGAATAAATAGTTAATATGGACCACATAAATCAGAGCGGCTTCAACATCAACAGCAAGAATACGAGGCGTGCCTCTACCAACAATTGCAAAAACTGCTAGATGGAAAGGGACAAAGACATTTGCAAAATTCAACAATGAAACAATAATTCAAGGAAAAACTGTACAAGAGGCAATACACACAAGTAGAAAATATTATGTATTTAACGGCATTATAAAACGTTACTTACTGTGCAAAGAACATTGACAACTCCGGCATCAAGTGAATCTAAAATGCTTTTAACAACACTGGTTTCTTTGCTTTACATAGAATAGGAATAATTTAATGTTTATTTAGATTAGAAAATATCAATTGTTTTCTTAGATTAAAGATATTAACAACAACATATATAATTCTTTGAATTTTACCTTTCATTAAAAAGAAAAATTGCGTACTTTTAAATGCACTAAGGAATCAACTTGATATGTGGTTTATAAAATAGAAAGATTAAACGAGAATTGCCAAAGGAAGTTCAAGTTAGATCGAAATTTTATCAACCGCAATCACTTTTGGAATAACATATCCACCCAATTACCCAGCCTGTCAAATCAAAATGTTTGATTCTTTATGCATTATCATGACTAGGTCATGTATTAAAACTTGACATGATCTGATGATGACTCTCAAGACTGAACAGTGTTGCTAATAAGCCAGCTTCCTCTCTCTGTCTCTCTGTGATCCCAAAAGTTAGTAAATTATTGTAATTAACAAATTTGCATAAAAGACAAAATGCATGAACGACTTCACATTCTGTGACTTATGACACATTTAATTCTGTTTGTTTGTTGTTTGTGTTTGTTTTTACTTGTTTTCTTTTCCACACGATATAAATCTTAGATTTTCCTTATCAAATATTTCATCATTATAAAATATAAGTTTACTTTCCTATGAAAGAGAAATATTTGTATTTTCACAAACAAATCATTTATAATATTTCTTTTTGAAATTGAATTAAATCATACCGCATGCCACGCATGACTTCGGACATTTTTCAACAACATAGGGATCGCTGCATGCGTCTGCATTAAACCTGCCTAGTGTTGCACATAGTTTTGGATCGTCATCTTCACATACTGCATTAGGTGATACTGGATTAAGTTGAAGAATCTGAGCTGAAAATGTATCAAAATCTTTTTTAGTTTCCTGACATATTAAAACATGTCAAATACACAGCTATACACTCTAAATATTTTTTTATATCAATTGTGACGACTATAAGCTATGAAGATTACAGGTAAGCTTACCTCAATAGTGACAATTTGAAAAAAAAGGTCTGGTTGGATTTTACGTACTTTAAAGACCTTACACTCTATTTCATAATAGATAGTGTCATTGTTGTCAATAATGAAATAAACAACAATGAAAACAATCCTTTAGTATTTCAAAATGATTCCAAACAAAGTAACAATCCTTGACAACAGACTTTATCATGTGACAGGCATTCTTTTGTATTTTAAAAGAGTTCACCATCATTAAGCTATGTTCTCAACGCCGATCAGATCAACTCGATCCTCCCGATCACATTAATTCCCCGATTAAGCCCAACCAAGCTGGATTAAATGCACATTTACGACCCCTACACGACCTCAAGTCGACCCTACACGATGTTTTACGGCTTCTTCTCGACGACAACCCGACCAACATCTCGACTTCTTCTCGATCACCCAAACATATACGCGAGTCATTCACGATTTCAACTAGACTGATCGCTTCTCGACCGCTTATCTACTCGATCGCTACTCGAATTTTTTTAAAAGTCAAAAAAATTCGGGTAGGAAGCCCGAGCCATGCCGACCAAGGTAGACCGCTCCGACCACTCCCGATCACGCATGCAGACCGAGCTAGACCGGTACCCGATCGCTGATCGTGCTTGATCGAGTTGATCTGATCGGTGGTGAGAACACAGCATTTAACTGCTCAGGTCGATCCAATCTCAATCTTTTTTTTTTTCAATATTTATTTCTTGTTTCCCTTAAGTATGTTTATACAATACAGTTGTTCTAAATTTAGACTATAAAGACTATAGCAATTAAAGTTTAAATTTTATTGATCTAGTTAAAACATTATAACTATAACAATGGAGGTTATTTGTTAACATAAGATATGTAGTATAAATTTTATATCTTACTACCTGACATATTTGCACTACATGCGTCTAAATTACAATAATCAGTCTTGCAACAAACCGAACAATTTTGCACTGCAGTTCTCTTGCCTATTATTTGTGAAGTGCTTATCCTTCTTAAACTGCAATCCTAGCAAAAAACTAATTATTTCAAATATGATATATATTGAAGATGTTGAACATTAAAAATGGGTTAACAAAACATGGAATGATGCTTATTGGTTTATTTTTCAATACAAAACATTTCTTTATTAGTCAATTGTAATTCCTGTTGCTTTATAAAAACCAATGACGAAAACTTCGACCCAATTCGGAACAAATTTTAGTTTCATAACGCAAATTAGAAATATAATAAGCAGTTAATATGATTATAATAATTGACAATATAGGACCAATACTCCCTGAATACCTGATGTCTCACACAGCCAAGACGGTATTTTGATTTTCCAAACGTTTCTATCTTTTCAGCTAGGCATATCTATAGAAAAAACATACACTCCTTAAATAGTTATGATGATAAAACACTTCAGTAAATATCAAAAATCACATTTGATCTTCAGAAGGTTTTAATTAAGAATTGTATTACATTTTTGTCCTGTGAAGTAGTAAAGGCGATAAAATTATTGTATTGTAACTGGTGAGATACTTTAAAACAAATAAAGTTGAAACAAATCTGACCTCTCCTTCAAGACATTCCTTGACAACTTTGCAATCATTTGGATTATCAACCAAACCACACGATAAACATCTCAACGTATTATTGATGTTACCTGTTATAAAATTAAAGGTTATCTAGATTTTCTTCAATTGTCAATTATATTTTTATATCATGTTTTTGTTTTGCTTCAAACTTGATTATGACTGCTGCTAACAACAATCGCTTATTAAATGCTTCCATTCAGTTGGATACAAATCGAACATTAAAACATAGTTCTAAAATCTTGAATACAATAAAATGAGGGGTTAGAAATTGTAGAGCGAAAGTACAAGTATTTTATATTTCTATAAAAAAATGTGTCATGAAAAACAATCCTTACCCAACATCTTTAAAACTGATTTAAGAAATAAATTATTGTTCTGAGGTATGTGCCCTTTATTTTTACATAGTATTCATAATATATATATTATTCACGATATACAGTATTCATGATATAGATCTAAATTATTCATGATATATATTATTCATGATATATAGTATTCACGATATATAGTAATTAATGATATATATTATATGTAATATATAGTATTCATGAGATATAGTATTCATGAGATATAGTATTCATGATATATAGTATTCATGATATATAGTATTCATGATAAATAGTATTCATGATATATAGTATTCATGAGATATAATATTAATGATATATAAAATTCATGAGATATAGTATTCATGAGATGTAGTATTCATGAGATGTAGTATTCATGATATCTGTGTTTAATATTGATAGTTCTATATGTACCTGAACGGCATTCATTCAAATTACAAAAGTTTTCACGGCAGAGGGAGCTGCAAAATGAGAGTCTTGTGTTTCCAACTGGCATTGGCACAGCCTACACAATCAGATCAAGAAAAATTGTCTCATTATGAAACAGATAACATGATATATTTTTATATTTAGTTTTATTGCAAAACAAGTGGAAAAAACACCAATTCACAGAGCTACGTCTTATTTAATGAAATTGTGGCTTTGAAGCTGGCTGTAAGAACGTCAGTAAAATTCATTTCTAATTGGGAAATAATATAAAGACTACCATGTTAAAATGCTGTTCCGTTAAGGAACTACGGACAACTACAAGTAGGTTTATCGCACAACATAACGGACAGCACTTTGAAGATGAAGGTAAAACGATCGATTAATAGTTTAATACCAAAAACATGTTATTTGCCAAAGATCAATATCGTTGAGAATCTGTAAATACAAATAAAAAAAATCAACAGAGAAGAATAGGGAGAATAAAACGTAGAAATGGCTAATTAAAGTAACTTAACTAATTACAATAGCATATAGTTATACATGTATATAGAATAACTTAACTTTTATAGTAAACACTTAAAGGTAGCTTTCGTCAGGTTTTAAGAGCGTCATTAGCTTTCGTCAGGTCTTAAGAGCGTCATTAGCTTTCGTTAGGTCTTAAGAGCGTCATTAGCTTTCGTTAGATCTTAAGAGCGTCATTAGCTTTCGTTAGGTCTTAAGAGCGTCATTAGCTTTCGTCAGGTCTTAAGAGCGTCATTAGCTTTCGTCAGGTCTTAAGAGCGTCATTAGCTTTCGTTAGATCTTAAGAGCGTCATTAGCTTTCGTCAGGTCTTAACAGCGTCATTAGCTTTCGTTAGATCTTAAGAGCGTCATTAGCTTTCGTTAGGTCTTAAGAGCGTCATTAGCTTTCGTTAGGTCTTAAGAGAGTCATTAGCTTTCGTTAGGTCTTAAGAGCGTCATTAGCTTTCGTCAGGTCTTAACAGCGTCATTAGCTTTCGTTAGGTCTTAAGAGCGTCATTAGCTTTCGTTAGGTCTTAACAGCGTCATTAGCTTTCGTTAGGTCTTAAGAGCGTCATTAGCTTTCGTTAGGTCTTAAGAGCGTCATTAGCTTTCGTTAGGTCTTAAGAGAGTCATTAGCTTTCGTTAGGTCTTAAGAGCGTCATTAGCTTTCGTCAGGTCTTAACAGCGTCATTAGCTTTCGTTAGGTCTTAAGAGCGTCATTAGCTTTCGTTAGGTCTTAACAGCGTCATTAGCTTTCGTTAGGTCTTAAGAGCGTCATTAGCTTTCGTTAGGTCTTAAGAGCGTCATTAGCTTTCGTCAGGTCTTAAGAGCGTCATTAGCTTTCGTTAGATCTTAAGAGCGTCATTAGCTTTCGTCAGGTCTTAAGAGCGTCATTAGCTTTCGTTAGGTCTTAAGAGCGTCATTAGCTTTCGTCAGGTCTTAAGAGCGTCATTAGCTTTCGTTATGTCTTAAGAGCGTCATTAGCTTTCGTTAGGTCTTAAGAGCGTCATTAGCTTTCGTTAGGTCTTAAAAGCGCCATCATTTTGGCCGACTTAATTTTGCACTATACTAAAGATCCCTTGTCGGTAAATTTATATAATAAAAATAATAAAGAAGTTATAGAACAAATGATTTAGTTGACAAACATTGTAACGAAGCGTATACGACGTGAAGGCCATGTGGGAAAGACATATCTTCATAAACTTCGGAAATTTAAAGATCACCATCAAGACTTAAATGGTATATGATAAAATATTACATAGTCTAAAAGGTTTCTTTAAATAGGCTTGTTATAGGTCGCGTAAGAGCACTGAGATAAACAAAAATGTCTTGTTATAAAACCACCCACGAAGTGCCTGAGAAGTAGCAGATGTGTTATCATAAACATTTATATGAGAGACTTAAGGTACTAGATGCCTACGGCAGGACTTTCTTTCTGAGGATTTTCATTTTCAATGAGGATACCCCGTTTAAGAAGGACAAAAATTTTGAATTAAGAATTTTTTTAAATAAATATATACCTACCTACCCACCCACCCACCTACCTATCTATCTACCTATCCAATTCTTACTTTTAGCACAAATATTAAGAATTTTATTTAGATAATTATTATGTGAATATATTAAAATGTCCAACAGATACCGGTTTTTACTGACTGAAACATATTTGTCGTTTTCGTTCTATATAATATAACTGTAAGAATTATAGTTCTTAATTGTAAATTTATTTATTATAATCACATAATTTTCATAGTTTGATTTTTTCGATAGTTTTACTATTAAAAACATTGTTTGACTCTTTCAATTTAACATAGCTTCACTATTTCCGCCAAACGTAACGTCTTATTTTGTTTCCCGTAAAGAGACGTCATTAAATTGTTTACGGTGACGTCATTAACCGTTACTTTGATATGTTGTTTTGCCTTGGGCGGAAGTGCTTAAATTGTTGATGTGTTTTGTTTATTGATGTTTTCCAATGGAAAGTAGATCATAATCGGTAAGCTAGTTATTTATTATGTATGAATTTTAATAGTAAATTCAATATTGTTTAAATGATGATGAACTTTACAATATTTGCCGTGAATTAAATTATAAACGGAATTATTTGCGGAAATATAAAATAACATTATTATTTGCATAGATTTAAGTCTATTATTGTAAAGGTAATATCGTATATTTATGATTTGTATTAACATTATTATTTTTGACAATTTATTTTATTTTATTTAAATGCGTTGTAATCAGTATTTAGTTTGTTTATTTTATTAATTTCAGAGAATCGCATTGTTGTATCACATTGATATATTATTCCATGAATGAGAATAAAGAAAAGTGTTGAAATCTGCGCATTCTTGACTATTTTTAACGGAAAACATTTACAATTCTCGATTTACAATTCTCGATTTTTACAATTCTCGATTTTACTGTGACGAAAATGCCGTCAACAAATAGTGCGGAAACTTGTATAATCAGGAGTTTGTCAGTTTGAAGAGATCAAGAAGTGCAAATGGCGCTCAACTGACGAAACTTTACAATGAACTTGAAAAGAGCATGATGTCCTACAATAATATAGAAGAGGTAAAACTACTGAACAGTAAGTTATGTGAACGCTTTGAACATTTCAAATCAGTGCATTTACAATGTTTAGATTTGTGCGCGCAACCGGAAGTTGTTGCAGACTTGGAAGCGAACTTTGAGAGCTGTTTAAAGAACTTTGAAGAATTCAGGGAAAGATTTTCTCAGTGGATCGCGGGAGCTATTGGACCGCAAGATGGAGAAAATATTCCTATAGAAAATGACGCAGAGTCAAATGTCAGCCATGGAAGTTCACGTACTTCAGTCTCGTCGCGCCGGAAATTACAAAGTGCTAAAGCAAAGCGTTTAATAGCAGAACACAAATTAAAACAACTTAAAAAGAAACAAGAACTTGAACGAGCTCGCCGGGATCTTGAAATGAAACAACAATTGTTAGATCAGCAGTCGGAATTAGAAGAAGCAGAAATAGAAGAAATGGTGTGGTTAGAAACAACACAGGAAGAAACCGGGGTCATATCTAACAATCAAAATGCTCAGCCTGACGTACAAAATAATATGACTAATCATATTCAGGTGAACAACCGTACAGATTCTGTGAGAAATATAACTTTGACACAGCCCAGACCGGAAATAAACAGATCGTGTATACCGGAAGTTGACAGTGAGAGATCAAACATTGACAGATCATTTCAAAGATTGGCGTCAGCACTTCATGAAGGATTCAACTTACCGAAGCCAGAAACTATTGACATTTGATGGGAAGCCTGAAGGATACTGCAAATTTATCAAAAACTTTGAAACAAACATTGAAAGCAGAATAAGTGACAATAATTTAAAGCTAAGTTATCTCATTCAGTATTGTACAGGTAAGGCAAAATCTAGTATAGAAGATTGTGTTTTGTTAGAACCGGAAGAAGGTTATAAACGTGCTAGTCAATATTATTGTCTAGATTTGGCAGACCACATTTAATTGCAAGGTCTTACATTGATAACTTGGTAAATGGTGCTCAGATTAAAGCGTCCGATGTTGAAGGGCTATCTAAATTATCTTTAGAGATGCAGAAATGTGAAATTACACTTTCTCAGTTAGGATTTTCCTCAGATATTGATAATACAGAAAATTTAAGATGCATTGTTAGGCGGCTCCCAACACATATAAGGGTAAAATGGGTAGAAGTAGCACATTATATAAATGAGTCAGGTAGAGTGCCGCGCTTTTCAGATTTGTCTAAATTTGTAGACGAAAAATCACGTATCGCTAACTCCATGTATAGCTATGATATTTGTAAAAACAATGATTTTATCAAGAAAGAAACCAGAAACAGTTCTGGCAAATATTACAGTAATGATAGACCAAAGGTTACTACTCTAAATACACATACTGAAGAAAACGGTCATGAAAGTAGTAAATGCATTTGTTGTTCAGGTAACTGTGCAGAGTTATCACTGTGTAACAAGTTCAAGTCAATGAGTCTCAATGATCGTTATAAAACTGGTAAGATCACTTAAATTGTGTTACAATTGTTTAAAAGGTAAACATTTTACAAACAAGTGTAGAAAACCAAAAATATGTAATGTTACTAATTGTAATGTCAAACACCACATTTTGTTACATAGTTGGGTAAAACCCGATAATGGCCACACAGCAGTGCAGTCGTCGTGTAACTGTGCAGCAACAGAAGGTTCTACTGTAAAAAATTGTCTGGGTATTATTCCTGTAATAGTTAGGGGTGGGGACGGTAGTTCTTGCCAGACATATGCCCTGCTAGATGATGGGGCTGATAAAACCTTATGTGATGAAAGATTGTTACGGAGCCTGAATATAACCGGTAAGCCCGTCACATTCCGGATGTCTACGGCAAACTCACGTGAAGGTTATTATACATGGTCAGGAGGCCGACTTAGATATTCAACCTATCGATGGAAATGAAAGTATTACCCTAAGAAAAGTCTGGTCAGTAAAGTCATTACCGATATCAACTCGATCTGCAGCTAATATGCAGATATCCGAAACTTACCGTACTTATCCGGTATAAATATTCCAGATATAGACACTATTGACGTTATGATGTTAATAGGGACGGATTCACCTATTGCACATATACCGCTAGAAGTGAAATTCGGAAATAGCGATGAACCGTACGCGATACGCACTCGTCTTGGATGGGCTATACGCGGTCCAGTCCCAACTATGAAAGAATCCAACGATATTAATATAAATTTCTTTGAGTCACGTGACATGTTGTTACAGCAACAAATTGATCGTTTGTGGACAGCTGACTTTAATGATAAATCACAACAAGTGAAGAGTTGCATGTCTGTAGAAGATAAAAATGCTATGAAATCCATGGAATCAACTTTAACTCGTGAGGATGGTCATTACAAGATTGGCCTCCCTTGGCGTGATGGAAATTCGTCATTCGTAAATAATATACCGCTTGCTCAAGCCAGATTACAGCAGTTGAAGCGCAAGTTGTCAAGTGACAATAATTTGCATGATATGTACAGAACTACTGTAAATGGTTACATTGCAAATGGCTATTCATCGGATGTAGATTACATGGTACCAGAGAAAACGCGTGTTTGGTATACGCCGCATCATCCAGTAACAAATGTGCATAACGCTTCTGAAACAGACAAATTAAATGTTTGGTTACATGGACCAACATTTCTTAGTAAAGGTAGGGAACACTGGCCTAAGTATTCAAGTAATTTTATCCCGGAAGTGAGTGAAGATGATGTTGAAGTAAAGAGATATGGATGTATTTTTTCTTGTTTAACATCAAGGGCCGTCCATTTAGAAGTTACTCATAGTTTGAGTACAGATTCGTTTATCGCCGCATCACAACGATTTATTAGCCGGAGAGGTCTACCAAAAAAAATATATAGTGACAACGGAACCAATCTAGTAAGTGGAGATTGTGAATTGCGAAAGTCCATACGAGAGTGGAATCAATCCGAAATTGGACAATTTATGTTGCAGCGGGAAATCGAATGGAACTTTAACCCTCCGTCAGCTAGTCACATGGGCGGTATATGGGAACGGATGATACGATCGACACGTGCAATTTTGAGATCGTTAGTCAAAGAGCAGCTTCTGACAGATGAACACATTCTTACTGTTGTAACAGAGGTTGAAAAAATACTTAATGATAGACCCATTACCCGAGTAAGCGATGACCCAAAAGACCCCCCAGTTTTAACTCCAAGCATGATTTTATTACTAAAGTCCAATACATGTATTCCACGTGGCATTTTTAGAAAAGAAGATACATATGCAAAGAGAAGGTGGAGACAGGCTCAGTATCTTGCTGATATATTCTGGAAACGATGGATTCGGGAATATATACCTACTCTACAATCTCGACAAAAATGGCTGAGACCACAAAGAGATATCCGTGAGGGCGATATTGTACTCGTGGCTCAGGAAAACATACCAAGGGGGCAGTGGCCGTTGGGCAGGGTTGAATCTATAAATGTGGGTCGGGACGGGCATACACGAAGCTGTGTGGTCAAAACTAGTATGTCACAATTCTTAAGACCAATAACTAAACTTTGCCTACTAGAATGTTCTATTTAAGTAAAGGTATACATTACAATAAGCTATTGTTTGTATAAGATGAAATCGTAACGTTTCATGGTGGGGAGTGTAAGAATTATAGTTCTTAATTGTAAATTTATTTATTATAATCACATAATTTTCATAGTTTGATTTTTTCGATAGTTTTACTATTAAAAACATTGTTTGACTCTTTCAATTTAACATAGCTTCACTATTTCCGCCAAACGTAACGTCTTATTTTGTTTCCCGTAAAGAGACGTCATTAAATTGTTTACGGTGACGTCATTAACCGTTACTTTGATATGTTGTTTTGCCTTGGGCGGAAGTGCTTAAATTGTTGATGTGTTTTGTTTATTGATGTTTTCCAATGGAAAGTAGATCATAATCGGTAAGCTAGTTATTTATTATGTATGAATTTTAATAGTAAATTCAATATTGTTTAAATGATGATGAACTTTACAATATTTGCCGTGAATTAAATTATAAACGGAATTATTTGCGGAAATATAAAATAACATTATTATTTGCATAGATTTAAGTCTATTATTGTAAAGGTAATATCGTATATTTATGATTTGTATTAACATTATTATTTTTGACAATTTATTTTATTTTATTCAAATGCGTTGTAATCAGTATTTAGTTTGTTTATTTTATTAATTTCAGAGAATCGCATTGTTGTATCACATTGATATATTATTCCATGAATGAGAATAAAGAAAAGTGTTGAAATCTGCGCATTCTTGACTATTTTTAACGGAAAACATTGGTAAATATATACCTACCTACCCACCCACCCACCTACCTATCTATCTACCTATCCAATTCTTACTTTTAGCACAAATATTAAGAATTTTATTTAGATAATTATTATGTGAATATATTAAAATGTCCAACAGATACCGGTTTTTACTGACTGAAACATATTTGTCGTTTTCGTTCTATATAATATAACTGATATCAATTTTGACATAATTGTCGATATTTTTCAAACAAGATTATTATGTTAATTTTATGTCAATTGTCATTTAAACATATATTAACTTAAATGCTGAAAACATATCAGTCATTTTATTCCACAGACCTGCTTGCCATAAACGCCCATCATTGGGAAAGCATTCAGTAAAGAGTAATTCATTTTAGAGAGATTGTTTGGCATCAACCACTCAAAAGGTCACATGCATATGGTCAGATCTTTTTACTTTAGGAAAGATTATTACAAGAAGTATGTCAGTTATTATTCTATTGATATATTCAATTGTTTCTAAATATTTATGAATAATTGTAATTAATTATTAATTGAAATTAATAATAAAAAAAACATTCTACCGTTTTTATAAGGCGGGGGATCGTCAAATCAGAGGATCAAAATGTTTAATCATAATTGTCTTTTATCTGTTGACTTTATGAAGACAACCGCCAGCATATGTAATTGCAAACAGTTTAGTCCATAAAACTATGGTGAATTACTCGTCAAATTCACCATGCTTAGAGCGACCATAAATGCAATATTGACATTTACTAGAAATGCTAACGCGTTGTCCAAGCATTTTGTACGCCAGTTTATGCTATTACTCGAGAGAAAAAATAATTATTTTATTGTCATCTATTGGTATTTAGAATACATGCAATGAAAAGCAAATATATACATGTATAAATTACTTTTAATTTAATTTATTAGAGCAAAATGTCCTCCGAAACATCTCTTTCGGAGGTTTTTTGTAACTGGAGTATCATAAACACGTCGGTATTTTTTTTAAAACAGAAGTCTTAAATAATTCCATACAGCCAAATGCAACTGACATATACTAAAATAAAAAACTTTTTTTGGTAGATTCTATTTTGGCTAAATGAACGTACATTCTAAAATAGAAACTATGACAGAGCTAATATAGATGCAAAGTGTTTATATTTGTTAAGCATATTTGCGATCAAATACCATTTGATATAATTATGCAAAGCAATACATTATAGTTTACCAAGCCCCTTGTAGAGCCAAACGTGTGTTTTACTTCACCAGTATGAAATACATCGGCTCTTCCATATCATGCCTGTGTACAAATGAGCAGAACTTGTATAGACGACATGACAACAAAATCAGGCTAAAATACATAACATATACGTGTCGTGCCTTTAACAAAGATACCTTTGGAATACCATACCAGGACCGTTCAAGTATCATAAAGCACATAAACATTAATCCTGTATGTATTTCCCATTGGATAAGTCATCTTATCAAATGTTTGGGTTGTATTTTCTTTTAATTTTAAACTTTTATTTTAAGCTATTTTTATTTCAGGTAATATACGACAAAGTAAATACCTCTGCAGTGGGACATTGTGTCACATTTAGACATGTTTCATTTTTCGACACATCTTTACATGAGTAACATAGGAGTCCGTTGTTACCTGTGTAAAAATGTCGTTAAATTGTAGAATAATATATTATATGACTGAAAATGACTAACAATAACGAGGCTTATACTGCCAATTATAGTGATTATAAAATATTTATAGAACTAAAGCAACGCGCTATGGAGGTTAAGCTTACAATCATCCGTTTTATATGTACAATTTTTTTTTCATTGTGTTTTAGCACAAATTACATGCAAAGATGAAAATAAAATTAAAGACCTATTAAAATTTCGCCTTTGATCCATTTTCTTACTGAATTTCCTTTTTTATCAAAAACTTAATTATGATTAACAATTGGAGAAAATAATTAAATATCATTGCAAATTAATCGGATAACTAAACGTACTTTTCCTTTATTACACTAAGACGTTTATGGTTTGTAAATTTATTTCGACTTTCAGGCGAGCACAAAATATTGACAGGTGATATATTGATAATTGATTACAGATTAGAGTTTCAAACTTACCTTTGATTAAAAAGATGACCATGCAACACAGTGTATTTATCCCTATAGAAAATGCTAATTAATATAACGATACAAATAAATGGTTAACATAAATATGACCTAGATTGAGATAAATTCCGTAGGATTTAAGTACGGTATTAATATAGCAGCAAAGCTGTTTGCACTGTCAAGAACTATGTTAAAAATATTATACACAATTGCCTTGAAAAGTGGTTAAACCTCTCAGACAATGTAAAACCATATTATTAATGTTCAACATTAAACAACATTTATTTCTGCAAATCATTTATGCAAACGTCAAAAGTTTTGAATACAAGGATGCCAATTATTCGTTTATTTGTTTCGTTTTCTGCATTATTATTTATTATTATTATTATTATTATTATTATTATTATTATTATTATTATTATTATTATTATTATTATTATTATTATTTTGCACTTTTGCAATTAAAAATAAGGTAAAACAACTTACATCCCATTTCCAAAACAGCATAAAACAATGAAAATTAAGTCATATCACTGATAAGAAAGTAGCTTATCGAGGCTTTCTTCAAAGTGGGGTTCGTATTACATGAAAAAGAACTCCTTAAATAGTTGATAATACGAGCATAGATGAGCATTTGACATCCGTACATGTTGAACTGCACATAAGGGGTCAAGAATGAAGTACAAAACCAGCAGAGTACATGTAGGTGTATAATTACATTCGAAACATTCACGGCAAGGTCCACAAAACTGTTAGATAACGTGTCATTCAACGTATAGACATTAAGTATATTTTTCTTTTAAAGTTCATTTTCTGCACCCCAGCTCTCATGATATCAAGTCCATTTTGTAATACTGATCAGTCCTATTCCACTAGAGTATACCTTAAGACCTCGTAACCTTTATAAGTCTTAATGACAAAATGCGTGTGTTTAAGTTCAATTGACATTAACATTTGAACGGAAGCGTCCGATTAGCTTAAAATTTAGAGCTTGAACAGTTTATTGGGCGACCCGATTTCGATTCCCGGACGGTGCAGGTCACTTTCGTTGTGATCGATCATAAACCTTTTTCTACGGTCATTCAAACTGTATCAGCTCTGTGTGGTGGCTGATTTCTGCCATTCCGTGCATTCGACTGTTCGCGCCTCACAAGTCGACGGCAAAGACCCGAAGATAATTAGATAATTTGTTCACTTATCGTGTCTGTTTTTGACTTTTGAGGGCGTCGACACGAAGACACGGTACATTCTAGGCGAAATTACGTATGTAAACTGGTAAGAACACGAGACATTATTCTGTAGAATTACCGTGTCGGCGGGTAGAAATCTTCGTATCGGCGCCCTATATTTGTCTTGTCATGTGTCTTCGCATTTTGCCATTTTCGCCTTTTATTTTACAAATTGTCCTATATAATTAGATATCTTGTTTACATCTTACAAGTAGGTATACAAACATAGGCATACAATAAAATCGCTGAAATAAGATTTGCTAAAATTATATAACTGCAAAAAAACGCGAAATTTTCCGTACGAGAAAATAGCCGGATATACGCTTCATTTATTTCATATTGATTCAGCTTATGTTCATCACCAACAACACTAAATTTTACATAACCAGTCATGATGTACAAAAATAGAATCCCGGACAATTGCCCTCTCGGACGTTTGCACATTTTTGCACTGATGTGACAATGCCTTAAGTGGCTACAAATAGGCTAAAAACAGCAGTATTTTGGTTAGAGATTTTGGTTAGAGAAACATGCACTTCATTCACAAAACCTGAACTACCTATTCATTCATTAAATCGTCATCATTGTAGGAAATGTTTAATAATTCGCACCCCGCCATTTTAACTTAATATTCTTGAATTTTCGCTTGACGGGGTCGCGAGGCGGAAACACAAATGGCACAAATTGGCCACCATAAAAATAGTCTGAAAGTCTTTAATTGTACCTAAATATGCCTTTAATTAACTGCTTGAATCTTAAATTCAACAGGACTGTAAATTTTCTTCCAATGGAAACTCCAAAGGAGTTATTCCTTATTAATCATTTATTAATTTGTGTACAAATACCAATTATGGAAGCACAAAGACATACACAGAATCAGACATTGCATAAGTGTCTAAGATGCAATGTTATATTGCTTATAATCCTCTTCAAAATCCAAATAATGTAAGAAAATGCCCAATATATTACAATTATCATACATGTAAGACAGAAAAACAAAATCGGTAAAAAGTTTTTACTAAAAACTAAACATTTATTTTGTTACATTTATATCCAAAATTAAATCTTCTCTGCATTTGGCGTTTGTAGCATAATGGAAGGAAGGGATTCATAGCCATATGGAACGAATTTTCTTTTTTAATTAATGTAAGTAAATGTACTGTAAAAGAATATCCACATAATATATTACTTTACAAAGTTATTTCTTCTGTTTTATTTTCTACTGTCTTATTTTATTGAGTATAGAAATAAACTGCATAATTCTGCATATAATGACATATATTATCTAATATAAGTAGTCTACACATATAAAACATTCATAATTATACAACGAGAACAGTGTATAGCCGTGTAAGCACGTCATGTCTCAATCTATTTATTTTCACCGACATTAGAAAGTTTTATGTTGTATCTGCGTTACGCATCTAACAATGTAATGAGGTAACTTGAATGTTTCAAATGAAAATTGAGAAACTGTTTAAAACAATAATTAATATTTTGTTACAGTGACGTATAGTTCTAAATATTTTAAGGAACCTAAACTTATTGTTACGCTGTTATGTTTGCATTTTTGTTATACAGATCATTTTAAACGTTATTTTCCTTGATTATATCGCATGCAAAGGTTAGAAGAACCCAAAGAAAAATAACAAAAAAAAATAGATTTATTAAAAAGACAAATAAAACACATCATAATTACAATAGGGACCCCTGGTTAGTTATGTTTTACTAATTTTAAATAGCTTTGAAACTATTTAAACAGTGTACACCTTAGCCTAAATCCAATCATACTGATGCTCCTTACAAAACTATGAATAATGTCAATATAATTACAATTAATGACATTTCATTGATTAGATATCCCATAGAAATAACAAGTAATAGCGACCTTTTCGCCAAAGACCTGAACCGGGCGTTTACTTGAAACAAGCCGTGGCACGTCCCTGACAAATATTTATTCCAATATTCATATTTTTTTATTAATATAAAAGAGAATGACATTATAAAGAAAGGATTTCAAATAAGTCACTTTTGTGATTTTATTTGAAATATATACATGCATATGCAAGTAGTTTATACGTCTAACTAACAACTCTAATAAACATTTGAAACAGGGTGATCCCTCGGAAGCATTAAAAATAACATTGTTACATGAATATTGCAGACGTGGTTTGATTGAGTCTGTAGTAAAACATAGAAACTGTTTTATTCAATAATCATATAGTCCTATTCTTTGATAAGTCATTTTTAATCCACTACTGTTGCATTTTTTGAAGGGGTACCATTTCCGTCCCATCGTCCGCATCTACCGTTTTAGAATCTTCCTTTTGTTTAAAGAAGTTCACCAGTGTCAATACAGCAAAGAGCAATATTAAAGAGAAACAGCTTTTCCCTAGCAGGAGATAAACAAACCAAAGGGGTGTCATTTTCTCCATGAGGTATCCTAACACTACTGGATTAATAATCAGTCCGATAGAGCCAGCTATAACAAAGAATGATGAGATTTTCCCTGTTACCTGAAGTATGCTTTCCTCTGTCCATGAGTACACACTTGGAAAAATGAGGGACATAGAAAAACCAGCAATGCATATAGACACCCATAGTATGATTGTAATTGATGTCAAACATGCTATTAGTACGCCTACGAAAGCAAGTATCAGAAAAGAGCTGTATGACAATAGAAGATTGACGGGCTTAAACATTTTCACGATGAATATTGCCAGGAATCTACCAACTGCAAAAGCCATCCAGAAGACACTTGTCGCATAGCTACTTGTGGCTTTTGTCCAGCCGAAGTAACGGATACAGAAAGTGGCAAGGAAACTTGAAAACGTGTCTTCCACGGCACAATAAACCATCATAAAGAGGCATATCAAAAATAATATAAGAATTCGCGCTCTTTTCGACATGATGATTTGTATCCGTTGTTCAGCCACTTCTTTTTCGTCAGGTTGCTCTGATGTTACTTCTTGGGTTGGAGTTTGGAAAGTTTTTAATATTTCACGAACGTATATGACGAAAAATGGAATGGAGCTTGTAATTATTACGACAGATGAAATAATGTAGGCGAGGTAAATATAAGTCTCTGCAAACTCCGTAGTTTGACATTTATTTCCAGTAGCATTATTTGACACGTATTCCGTTAAAGTCAAGTTTGCATCTGATTGGTTGACCTTAGACTCTGAAATAAATAATAAATATGTATAGAAAATAGACAATGTTAATTAACAAGGTTTTAAACTGTTTTATATTAACTTCTTGATATTGTTTCGTTTCAACTTGAACACATCAACAACAGTGACTACAAGTCCGATGCATAATTTGCGTTACCTTTAAAGATTTCACAGAAATAAAATTTAAATACTTATGAAAGAGTCTGATATAAAAATCAATTAAAAATATGCATGTAATGACGATAAACAAAATAAGGAATACCTGTCAAGTTAAGATAATGGCAAGATCGTTCAGCTAAAAATGGTTCGGTTGCCAATGGCGAAACTATTCCACCCATGGAGAAACAAAAATGAAGTCCTTGCATGTAAGGACCAGCCTTTTCACCCCAAAAAGACATCACGTAGGCATTTGCACCTTTAAAGATACAATACATGCATACATATTCTTGATAAAAAAATGTCAGGCACAGGAACATATAATTTACTATGTTTTGCTACGAAGCGCTAAATGAAAAGAAACCTACCTGTTAAATAAGTTCATATTTTCGGTAGAATGTAAATCAATGGTAGGTACTAGAATGTATCTCAATTCAGCAGAATTAACAAACGCGATGAGCGAAGTAAGAAAAGCTTGAAACACTTGAGAATTTATAGTTTTCAACCTTGTGTACTCAAAGTGGTCAACTCGAAACAATTCGGTGCTTTTTCTAAATCTTTATATAAGTTATGTTTAAAGCCTTTGTTCAATGTAAATAAGGAAACAGAAAATCTTAACATACTAAGTGTACTGTAATAACAGATAATGAAATAACTTCAATAACTTACCTGTGTCGAGTGCACCTGCACCAAGTCCCGAGACGAATCTTACTACAAGCATCAATGTGAACCATCTACACCAAGGTAGAGATACTGTAGTAACAGCCAGAATCAAAGTAGCTAGTGCAATCACGAGTGGTTTGCTAAAGTGGTCGAACAATAACCCTGCAATATAAATTAACTGCACTCGGTTAGATAAGTCGATGGGTTCAATAAATTTAATTTAATCTATGTTTCATTTCACCCCGCAAATGTAAATAAATTATATCACAAATAATCTTTAAAAAGCAGGTAGATTGTTATTTATGTTATTCTTTATTATTCTGTCATTCATATAGGTTCATTTGTTTGCATTTGTACAATATGTTTCTCTTGTTTTTCCATTTGTTGTTGTTGTTGATGACTTTTGTTGTTGTTGTTGTCGTTGATGATGATGATGACGACGATGATGATGATGATGCAGCTGGAAACACATTATTAGACAATCTTCAAGACGAGTATATGATATATTACATAATACCTCAAGCTATGTACTTGTTCAAATATATATCGTGATATTTTACGAAAGACCCGTGGTGACATTTAATCTTTCGCATTCACAGCTTCACAAAAGATCGTGCTTTCAGCTACGCGAACTTTCGATTTTAATATCTTTAAAATCAGGTATCGTAATACTGTGTCATATCTTTACAAAGAGATCAGACCAAATCACGATAAAATATATCTACGGTATATTACGAAATGCGGATTGACTTATCAACGTATGTTTACATAGATTTTATAGTGCTGAATGTGAATCGTAGCGTGTGTCATGGAGTGCTCTGTTTTTTTTTTTTTTTTTGTTTTTTTTTTTTTTTTTTTGTTGTTGTTGTTGTTGTTGTTTTTGTTGTTTTTTTTTCTTTCTGTGATATCTTTTCTCTGTATGTTTTACTATAACGTTGCTGAAAATTGTAGACCAAAACTGAATACATGTAAATATCTAGTGCAAAGGAATGTTCAAATTGTTGACCACTGTCGGTAGGCCGCGGAAAATACTTGATGTCAGGGACAAGTGTTGAGTCATTCAGAAATGGATTGATAAGAGGAAAATAGTGAACAATAAGATAAACAGATACATTTGATCACGCAAGCGACTTGCTTATGTTATCTGTAGTTAGAAACTTATCGCCCTGTGTGTTATATAACTTCCTTTTCCAGGAATGTCTTTATTGTCCTCATACGGAGAAATCGTTTAATTTTAAATAACTTAAAGTACTAATAATTTTGGTCTATCAAATGATCATTTACTATCATTTTGTTTTGTGGTGTATTATCAATATTTATCTTAATTTAGATATCAATAAGTGGGAAAAATAAATAAGATCATTAATAAATGGATTAAAACGATTAAGATAATTGGTGTGCGCATTTGCACAATTTTTGTCATTATCAAACATATATTATCTAGATACTTAGTGGACGTATAATGTAAACAATATATCAGATAACGCATATTTATATCTGATTCATTAATAGCGATTTAAAAGATATTTAGGTCAATTTTGTGGCGATTCGGCACTTTTCGTCACTTTCCGTCACTTTCCGTGCCTCATGAATATTAAATGACCATCTATTTGACAAGGGTCTTATTTATGCTTTCCGTATAAAAAAAATGTTGAATATTGCATGGTAGCCAGTTTTATGGACATTATAATTAAAGAGTCTAGGAAAGCTTAAAAGCATCCTCAAAGAGTCATGTTCTTTATAACAACAAATGAAACTATACATCTAATACGTAAAATAAGTATGAAAAATTAATAAATGAAGAATAAACACCGTCAAAATACAAATGTAGCATAATTCATTTACTAAATATAGGGAATGACCGAGTGTGTAAAGACATTTCAAATTTAGAATTCAGCTTAAGAAAATACGTGTTTATGTAATATAGAAAAAGAAGTACATCACGAGATACTATTGTTTACGGAAAACACAAAATTGGCCGAGTTAATACGAGTTGTTAAAATTTTAGCACTCCTTTTTTACCTCCACCTAGAGAGCCAGTCATGTATCCGAAAGAATAGATGGTGAACAACCATGACGCTGTATCCAACGTTTCTTGGACAACCAGCTGTAAATCCGGAAACGACGGTCCTATTTGACCGGTCATCCATCCCTGAAATAAAAATGATTATGATAATATATCATTTAATTTATTCTAGTTTATACAAAATTCATTTAAGTTTGATTGTGTAGGAAGCATTTAGTTTAATATGTGCTAATGGTGTATTGATCAATGCCGCTCACGGGATGGGACCGATGCTATCGTTCCTTAGATTATCAGTCAGGTGCGTTAACCACTTGGTATTGCCAATACGCATTAATTCAATTATTTTCATTAAATCGGGGTGAGTAAATTAAGATTATGCTATTTATTTCCAGTGTTTGTTTCTTTTTTTATTTTATTTTCATCAACTGAAAGGATTTTTATTCATTATCAGTGACGTACGTACAAAAATGAGGATCTCAAGTGATTGCGACTTCGAATTTTGCAAGGTCTAAACTAAAATATAATTTTGGCCCAGTATGTTGTATTATTATTATTATTATTATTATTATTATTATTATTATTGGCATGGTTCAACAAGTATTCTCAGTTTGTGACAATGATGAAAAACCACAGGGTTTTTGTGTATTGTTTTTTTTATTTATCACCTGGCTGTTTTTTCATATCTATTTATCAAACACTTCTATGTCATATTTTATGTAACTACAAATATGCATATCTATATAGTAACTTTGACCTATATAGTATATGTAAAACAAATAAATACTTGTATTCTTGCCAAGTAAATAGAAACTCAGAAACTTTCGAAACCGAAACATGTTACGTGTTTAAAATTGAGACGTCAACAGATATAAATAGCTGTATTTTGAAAGAAGAAAAAACAAAAGACATTCCTAAGCATTATCAATGATCAGTGACGCAATAAGATAGTCCGATAGATTTCATGAGTTAATTAACATCGGGTCTCAATATCAATCAAGCACAAATCAAATGTTTATATGAGACAAAATGATACCCCCTTTAATGTTTGTGTGTTTTGGTTTGTTGTTGTTGTTGTTGTTGTTTGTTGTTGTTGTTTTTTTGTGGTTTTGTTGCTGTTGTTGCTGCTGCTGTTGTTGTTTTTTTGTTTTTTATTGTCGTTTAGGGTTTTTAGGGAAAAGAGTGGTGCAGCTGCTGTTGTTGTTGCCGTTCAGGTTTTTCAGGAGGTTGGAGGGAGAGAATGGTTGTTGTTGTTGTTGGTGGTGGTGTTGGTGTTTTATTTTTTATTGTTCATTTTAGGGGCGTCATAATTCTTTGTGGTTGTTAGACTCGATTGTCCTATTCAAGGGTGATATTGATTCTCGCAAGATACAAATTGAAGTGCTAGCTAAACGAATGTCGATACAAATTAAAACTAGTATAATAATGTAACATTCATTTCGGTTGTTGTTGTTTTATGTATTTTCATTGCTTTTAAACATACTCAAATCTTTGACTTTGACAAAAAGGTAGTGAAAATAATATAAAGAGAAAAAAACAATCAGGAAAAATTGCTTACCAGTCCAAAAAAGGTCCAAAAAAGCAACAAAGTTCTTATGATTTTTATCCTGAAATCTTTGTCGGTTTTGAATTTTGTTAAAGACCTCAACATACGAGTTCCACTTTCAACGACATTCGCATCTGCTGGGTAATAAATGAAATAAAAATAGTACATATCTTCACACGACTTATGAGTAGACTAATATTCGATTATTAAAGCTATATGACTGCAGAAAAGCCAAAATATTTCTCAATGTACCAAGATTTTAAGCAAGATAAAACGATTCAAGAATCATGTAATAATTTCCATGTTGTAAGCAATTTTGCAGTATTTATCATCATATTTCTACTGCATGACTAACACTTTAAGAGCTTTTTATGCATATTTTACCTCTTTTTGTTTTGTTTTTTATGGATTGCAAGTGCCATTTTCAATGTGCAAATTACTTTCTTTATTCACTTCACAATATTTTACTTTTAAAAAACATTTTAGAATATTTTCATGAAAATTAGCATGAATTTGGAGGCATGTTGTTTAAATGTTCATACACGAATTCAATATTTACATAATCAATTTCTATTGAAAAATGATTCAAGTATAAATCATATTATGTAATTTGATAAAACGACATTTTGCAGAAAAATAAAAAAAAATTGGATAACAATAATCAAAGTAAGAAAATGGAAAGTGTATCGCAATTCGTAAAACCTCGCTCAGCATTTGTAAGTACAATGTACAACATAAAAATACCTAGTTTACTAAGATAACAAAGTCCTGAAAACAATCTAATGTTACAGAAATATATTTTACGTTTCTTATTATGAAATATAATAAAGTAAAAAAAGAAATAACTTTATCTAAAAAGTAGATCCAATGTAAGAATATGATATAAAGGGTCGCCTACTTATTTATTTATTTATTTATTTATTTATTTATTTATTTATTTATTTATTTATTTATTTATCATAATTTGAAGTGTTAAGTATAACAAAAAGTATCGCATTTAAAATCACAAGAAAAACGTGCACATGTACATACCCGGTACTTTAACTATGAATAAACGATCGTGACTAAATATAAATAAATAATAAATAGATAAAACATTTTTTTCTATTGTTTATATGTCCATAACATACAATACCTAGTTCCGTGCCCGCTAGTTCATTTAAATTTTGACTTTCCTCTTCGTTATCCATATTTAAAACTGAGATAATAATATATCTTTGTTTACCTTTAGTTGATTTTAACGTAATGAACTGTGCCTTCTTTTTTATCAAATTGTTTACGCAATTTACGCCTGTTATCAGTTTATTTCAGAGTGATCTCCCTTTCTTTATACTTTAACCATCCGGGCCATTTCATGGAATCAATATTAATAGTTCATTTATATATACATATAACATTATTATATAAAATACGGAAAAACAAAAGTAAACGCCGTATTAAACTGGACTGGTTTAAATCACTTTAGTTAGTTACTTTTTCTTTTTATATATATTTTTTCTTTCAAAACACAAATTCTACACTTATCGAATATGATAAAGAAAGGAAAAAGTTTCACAGTTAATTCTGAAATGTGACTTCAGTTACCGCCCCTGATTTTTCATAAGTCGAGCGTCGTACCAATACATAAGAATATAGTGACTTGAATAATATATTAATAGCAATAATAATTCTAATAAATAGACATGACAATTTAATTACTATAAGTGACTCATGACTGATATAGACTGTTTAAAATGGTTATAACAATGGACACTTATAAATCATAAGACACTTGACACTACTACTGCTTTTAGGCGATTGAATATATACATAAAGTGATCGTTGTTTGATAAAAATAATTTTAATGCTCATTATTAGTGACCTTTTATCATTCGCTTTAAATTTAAACCTTTTTATCATCATCATCTTTTACGTCAGTCACATCAACAACGTCATCATCAACAACGGTCATCATCAGCTGGATCATCCATCAAATATCACCATCTTATTAATAAGTTCATCATCCGCGTTTCATGATCATCAATGAATCATCATCAACATCGTCATCAACAACAAACAAACATTACGTCGTCGTCATCATCATCATCTACATGCATCTATTCATCAACGTCATCATCATCTGATCATCATCAATATCACCATCCTAATAATTGGTTCATCATCAGCGTCATGATTATCATAATCATCACCGTTACGATCATCATCATCATCATTATCATCATCATTATCACCATCATAATCAGCGTCATTATCATCACCATCGACATCAGCGTCCAGCTTCGTCATCATGGTCTTCAAAGACATCATCATCATCATTTTCAGTACGATTGTTATTTTGATAACAATAATGTTAGCAATTGTTATTTCTATTTTCTGTTTATATATGTGTAGAAGGCCATATTGGAAATAAGTTGTATGTTTATTATGTACTCTTAATATGTCACCTTCTCAAAATAAAGTTATTATTATTATTATTATTATTATTATTATTATTATTATTATTATTATGTTAAATGCATAGAGGATATTTGTTTGTTATGCATGTAAGATTTAAACATATTTCACTGAGTGAACACCATATGCAATATTTTCACGAGTGGCATAGCCACGAGTGAAAATAGAATAGCTGGTGTTCACGAATGATATATTTCAATCTTATATGTAAAGCAAATAAATTTTCTTATAATTTGATGATTTTTAAGGGATTTTAAGTATGTTTACTGATTTTGCCGCGTAACGTCGCGCATTCTCCTTAAAGACATCATCACAACATGGCGTCACATCATCAATTTTGAAATATAGTTCTGTTAGATTCTCAAATTTTGTTGCATTTTTACATGATATATGATGACATCGGCTTTCTTTTCCTAAAAAAGCAAAATTTACGCATGACGGCATTTATTTTTACCGGTTATTCCATTTAGCTATGGTATTATTTTCATCCGCATTCAGATATAGTCGCCTACAGTGAAAATTATTTTTTTTTAAATTTCAATAGTGGTTTATCAAAATGCAATCATCTGATATATTTATATATTACAATAAAACACTGGAAAGCATGATATAAAGAAGTGTAAAAATATACATAATTAAGAACATAAAATGATCTTTTTCTGACAAGCTTATGAGAAAAAATTGAGTGAGGATTGTATACGTCATCCGAATTCAATATAAACTGCGACCTAAAAGATACTTTAAAGGTCAAATTATGTAGAAAATGAACGCTGGAACTATTTTGTTATAATTACTATGTATATACATGTTTGTATCTTCACACAAATAAACAGCCAAGTGAATAGTCATTTATATGCAGCTGATACTGACTTAAATTATTTAAAAAGTCAAAAAAATGTCAATTTGTTCTCAAGCAAAAGTCTAGTTTTTTAAGTTCAGATATTTTAACACTGTGCATGTTCATGTATATTAATGGCCAGATTTAGTTAAGGTGTCTCACATTCTATTATCAGCGAACTGTTTAGAATTGTATATAGCCTCGGATTCCCAGTCCTCCCGAGGCTGGCCTTTTAAAATCGGCCAGCTAATGCCTGGAATCATGCACGGAGCTACAGCTGTCTTACTTTGGAAGTTACCATATGCCTTTTACAGTGCACGTGACCAAATAACAAAAAAACTCTGGAAACAAAGTGATCCCTCGGAAGCATTAATCACAACAAAATTAGATAAAAATTGCAGACTCGGTTTGATTGAGTCTGTACATGAGGGATAATGAATAAGTGCAATATTCCTCACGCCCGCTAGCACCGGCGTTACTCAATTCTCAACACTTAATAGCTTTGGCATCAATGATCCTGAAGGACCAGAAAAATATAACAATACAGTGAGTTGGCCAATAACGGATCACTAGTGAAACTTTTAGTGTTTATGAACGAATGATTTTTAAATTCTTAAATAAATGTATGTAGATTTGAAGTATTTTTATTCCTCTTTTACGGTATACTTCTTGTGAATTTGTATTTTGAATGCATCATGGTGCATTTACTCTTTTCAAAACATCTAGTAAACATGCCAATAACGGGTCAAATCAGCCATTAGCGGATCACGTGACATACGAATGGGGGATTGTCTCAAAACACGAAATTTTCTGTCAAATTCGTCCTAAACAAAGAAAATATTGCACAAATATATGTCACCCCTGAATATCAGAGTGTAAAGGGTACCACTAAGTAAAGAATTCAAGAGGCAACTGAACGATTGTGGTTAACATAGTAATGTTATGATTGTTATAATGGTGAACTCAATGATTTGTGTAGGCAACAACCACAAGACAAGACATTAAATGCATATTTTTTTTCAGGATTATAGGGGACAAAGCAGCTCATGAAAACACCTTCTATGTAAAACTTGATTAAAGTAACTGCAACCCTAATGTGTTGTTGTTGTTGTTGTTGTTGTTGTTGTTGTTGTTGTTGTTGTTGCTGCTGCTGTGAAACAAAAGCTAAAAGTGCAATATCTAGAAATTTTCATGTTCTATGTGGTCAGTATGATTTGGATATATTTTATAAGAAAATCAAACAAAATTTTTAACATATACTGCTTTACTCCTCCTTACAAAAATCTGCAATAAAAAACGAACAAAATCATAACAAAATACATGTACTAGTGTAAAACAATTCTGACTATCATTCATAAAAGGCAATTTAATAATAATTCTGATTGTGCAGACAAATGGATATGAACTTCTATGTCACAATTAATTGTTATAAAACACTAGCAACAGCTTAAAAATATGTAATTTAAGTAAAAAAGAATTCTTTATTGTTATATGTAACAGACAAAAACTGTAACTGAAAAATTGTATTTTTGTTGGGTTTAACGGCACATCAACACAATTTTAGGTCATAGGGCTGGACTTCTGTGTACATTTTTTTCTTTTCCTTTAGCCTTTGGAAGCATCATTATCTGAAACAATAAAACAAATAAACATTGAGCTAGCATGGATTCATTAAATATAATTTTATTATTTAATACTTTGACCCATTTTGCATTGAAATGTCTTTGTTAGCATATGAAACAAGAGCTGTCAGAGGAGAAAAGCTCCACTCGACTAATCAATTACTGGACACATTTTTATATTTAAAGGAAGACAAGACTATGGACAAAATTATCATATAAATGTATTTCTGTATCAACATCAAGAATCCACGTATAAGTTCAATATTTGAGCGACATATGACATGCAAGTGACCATGTCAGACAATTCCTATACTCTAATGGAAAAGACAACAATTTTGAAATCTAAAATTAATCCCTTCAATAAAAGGAATGATAAGAGCTAAACTTATGTGAAGTTTTAAAAGAAAATCATAGTTCAAAGAGGAAGTAACTCCTCACATATTCTGTAGGAATAATTCTGTAAAAGGTCTTTCACAAATCATGTTGGCGCATATATATTTGAAGTTTTGAAGTGGCTACATTAAGAAATAAAGAAGTTGCAGTAAGAAATAATATTTTTAATGAAAAAATCTTAATCCAAGGGGAGATAATTACGGAAATAGTTTTGCCAGAGTTATCAACCTTGTCACATTAGATGTGGTCGATGATAAGGAACATTAATTATGATTTGAAGTTTAAAGTTGATGCTTAAAGGAAAAAAATGTATATGTAAAAATTAATCATTTTACTGTAAAATTACTGCACAAAAATCTTAAACTGAAATCAGGACACAGACGCTGGGTGTGGACAAGTCTCAATATATATATATATATATATATATATATATTATATATATATATATATATATATAATATATATATATATATATTATATATATATATATATATATATATATATATATATATATATATATATATATATATATATATATATATATATATATGTCATATAGATAACTGAATATGTAAAATATGTTCTTTGTATATGATTTTTTTAATAACAATGATTTATGATGATATATATATAAGTCTGGAAAAAAACTGGATACCTACGTACATGTAACCTGTAACAGTGTTTAACTGTTGCAGCTGTTTATACTGCATAAAATACCTTTTTTGGCATGGACTGCATAATTCAGTTGTAATATTAACATAAATCATTTAAACTTTATATTATTTATTTATTTATTTGGTCTACAAACTAAAATTTTCTAAAAAAAAATATTTTTTATAACAGGTTGTATAACTTTGAGGCGGTCCCTTCCTATAAAATTGCATGACCCGCTTTTGGACAAATCGGTGCAATTCGTTTGAATAGCGCTATCAAAATTATTCCTGAAGTATTTTGTAAACGGTTGATGTTGCAGGTAGTTAACATAT